ACGACTAATCATTCAACAATCGATTAATTCAACTGAACTCGCGACCACATTTCCTTCAACGAATTTTTAACTTAATCCCGGGGGAATAACTCATTAAATTAACTAGAAATTTGAAACACATCATCCAGCATTCCAGTTATGGATACGTTCCTGGAAAACTATGTGATCTTCCGACGTATTTGTCTCAGGAAAATATCCAATGTGCTTATAATATGAAACCGTCACTTTGTGTTTAATGGAAATCAAAAAATTGTACATTGCTCACTGGTATAAAACAATGCTTCTNATCCCGAGGGAATAACTCATTAAATTAACTAGAAAATTGAAACAACATCATCCAGCATTCCAGTTATGGATACGTTCTTGGAAAACTATGTGATATTTCGACATATTTGTCTCAGGAAAACATCCAATGTGCTTATAACATGAAACCGTCACTTTGTGTTTAATGGAAATCAAAAAATTGTACATTGCTCATTGGTATAAAACAATGCTTCTAATACTCATGTATTCTATGCTCCTCCTCAGCGCAACAATCCCCTTAACAGCAGTTTCTTCCTCCCCCCTCCCCCTGAAAATGGATTACTTCTTAGCGACACATCATGAAACTGACGAACGATCAAAAAGTTTGTTGGCAAGAAAATGTCAGATGTATCAAAGAAATCAATTCGTTGTGGTCAAATAAGCACTTTGAAAACATTATTGGTCAAATATGGAAGAGTCATGTAGAAATTAATCAGCAACGATTTGCCAACCTCCTTAATTTCTCTTGATATCCTCAAATTCTCTCCGAATTGAGGGAAGGAAAAATGTGTAACCTGGCGATTGTTGAGGCGGAGGGAAGTTCGAGAGTAGGGACCAAACAGAGGGTGGCAATGTGCAGCTTGGAGGACGGCAAAAGGCGGGAGAAAATTAGAGAGCGTAGAGATAGGGTATACGTTGGGAGCTAAGCGGCAGTGTGAATTTATCAGAAGAATTTTGAGGTTATCGGTGCGAATGATGAGCAGGAAAAAGTATTTCGTATAGTACCACTAGAGAAATTTTGCGGAATGTCGCGCATCAAAACAAAACATTTCGACAGAAACCGCATCGATCATCATGATATTGCTCCCAAACACTGCATACATAAAATGACAAAAAATTTTCGATTGTTCATTTTACTGAACCGCAAAAATCAGTGGAAATTTTCGTGAAAAATGAAAAATATGAGCAAGCTTTTACAAATCAACGCACGTTCAACTACACTACTGTTACAAATATGTAAGTAAGAACAAGAGAACGACTCACAACTGCAGTACACGCTTTATGAATATCGAGGAATGAAGTCTGAAACTGAATTTATTGAAAACATGTGTAAACGATTCATAGAAAGTCGATGTGTCCAAAACGCATCATTTCTCGTCTTATTCAACAGCCACCTTCTAACACGACATTTAAAAACTTAACAAGCTGAGAGAGGGTGGCTAAAGGAAACGATATT